TGGAGCCGGGCCACTGAGGGCTGGGCCGCAGCGTCCCGCCCTAGCCCCGGGTCCCAGCCCAGGCTGCACACACAGAGTTTCCATCTCCCGCCAGCCTGGGCAGGGGCCTGTCACTCCCAGCGTGGGGTGGGGGCGATGACTTCACGGCCTGCGAAATTCTTGTCACCTCTCCCAGCTCATGTGTTCAGTCTGGTCCTGGGGCCAGAGCACTCCTGTGTGGGTGGACTTTCCCATGTTCTTGCGGACAAGGTTTCCTCTTATTTGCTTGATGTATTTTAGGGGGAAACCCTTTTCCTATGTGTCCAGCATTGTCTCCCCGCCAAGTCTTCCTTCCCCCTCCAGGAAGCCATGCGTTTGAGCAGCAGTGCAGAGATCAGGGCTGGACAAGTGTGAGTGTGCAATGACGGCTGCTGGGCTCGGGCCGGCGGCCTCTCGGGGGCAGGGAGGGTTGGAATGGAAAGCCCAGAACCGGGGATTGGCCCGGCTCCCGGTCCCACATGGCCTTCTGTGCCATGCCACATGTCGGAGGGAGGATTCCCAAGGCTACTATGCTAATAGCCCAGCCTGCCCCTCCCTGCCACAGGGCATGCTGGGAACGGGACAGCCCCTTGGCTTCTTAAGGTAGCTATTGAAGAGCTTAGCGTGATTAAGGTGGAGCACACGCATGAGAGAAAATAGCACAAAGGGAGTCCGTGGGGGACCCTGAGGGCCTCTGGGTGAGAGCAAGGCCTGACCTTTTTTGTTTCCCATGCTGTGTCTTGTGTCATTTGCTTGGGCCCAAGAAAGGCCAGAATGAACCTTTGATTGAATACAACATGTATAGGTTGGACTGACAGACGTGATGTCACCGTCCTTGAGGGCAGAACTGATTCACCCCAACTGTGGGCAGTGGGAACGGGCTGATCTGCTCAGAGGCACAGGAAAGCACCTTCGGGGCTGCCCTCGGTGAAGACAGCGGGGTGGCCACCCTCTCTGCCTGGGACTGAGGGGGTGTGCTCGGGCATTCCCCAGAGGCGGGAGCTTCCTTGCTAAAACCAGGGAAGTCCCAGGCAAACCAAGACTAGCTCGTGGCACTAGGATGGAGCCCCGGGGGCGCGGCTGCCTCTGCCCCAGCCCCTCTGTGGACAGGTTGGCATCCAGTTGCTTCCTGTGGAGGGAGCAGCCTCGGTCACATACTCCGCTTGAGTAGTTACATACACGTCTTAGTTTGCTTATATGTAAAATGGGCTTAACAGGAGCTACCGCATGGGGTTATTTTACATGAGAAGACACAAAAGTACCTAATGAAGCGTCAGTAATCGCTTAAATGTTCGCAAACTTATTTATTGCTCATTTGTTCAGCTCATTCAACAAATATGTGTGCTACCATGTGTCAGGCACTGCTGCAGACCTAAGGAACAGAGTCAAAGTTTCTGCCCTGGTGGAGGGGGACAGACAAACAATAGATGAATACATTCTAGCATGTATTAGGGGAGAAGGCCAGGAGAGGGGACAATGAGCAGGGTAAGGGAGGCGGGGCGTGCTGGGGCAGAGAAGTCCTAATGTTAAACACAGTGGTCAGGGCAGGCCTCACTGTAAAGGTGACATTTGTACAAAGACCTGAAGAAGGTGAGAGAATGAACCCTACCTAGTGAAGAGGAATCTGAGCCAAGGGAACAGGGGCCCCGAAATAGAAGCATGTCTAGTGCGTTCGGAGACTGGGAGGAAGGCTCGCTTGGCTGGGATCTCCGTCGCCAAGGGGAACGTGGTAGGAGTTAAGGAGTGTGCTTTTCCTAATTGGCCATTGCGGGGGCTAATTGGCCTTCAGTGCCCAGTTTCACCCCAAGGGAAAGCCACCAGAGGATTCTGAGTGGATGGGCACCATGAGTTGGTTTGGAGAATATCATTCTGGCTACTCTATTGAAGAGAATGAGAATAGAAGGCAAGGGGGAAGCAAGGAGACCAGTTAGAAGGCAGTGGTAATAATCCAGGCAAGAGATGATGGTGATGATGATGATGATGATGCTTTAGACCTGGATGGTAGCCATGAAAAAGGAGAAAGGAGTAGGCCTTCAATGTACTTTGAAGGAAAAAATAACAGGATTTCCTGACTAAATGGATACAATAGATGAAAGAGAGAGAGAGAGGGCGAGAGGGAGAGGGAGAGGGAGAGGGCGAGAGAGAGGGAGAGGGAGAGGAAGAGGAAGGAGTCAAGGATGATTACACGGTATTAATATGAGAACAGAGAGAGGCAGGGCCACCTCACATGGGTGGTGGTTGCTGTTGTGGTTGTGGCTGTGGCTGTTGCTGGGCCTTCATTAAGCTCCTGTGAAGTTCCTATGATCATCTCTAGCATCTGACGTCATGGTTTGCCCTCACAGGCGTGTACTCGCTCTTGTAAAGGAGGCAGCGACCACCTCTTCACATTACGAATCCCGTTGCACTGTGAATCCCATTACGCTGTCAGTCACTTTATATTATGAATCCTGCCTCCTTGAGAAACGCCCCAAGTAGACTGACAGACAAGCAGAACTCCTGTTCCCTCAGGCAAGGCTGGCCCTCCAGCACAGCAGTCCCAACTTGGCACAGCCCTGCTGCCTCGGGTCCCTGGGGAGAAGGAGCCAGCAAGGCCCTGCCCCTGGCAGCTCTGCCTCTGCCTGCCTGGGGATCACGATGCCCTGCCCAGGAGCACTCCTTTCCCAGGCCCTCGCTTTCCTTCCCTGCTGGGAGCCTGACTTCTGGGAAGCAGCCTACTTGCCTCTAACGGCTCTTGCCGAAGCAATGCTCCCCTTTAGAGCTCAGCAGTGCCACCCAGAGGCCAGGGTGGTGCATCTTGGCCCGGGGAGGCACGAGGCTGGGGACATGACCATCCGGCACCACTTCCCCCACTGGCTCCTGTTTTCCTCCCCTGAACACTAACAAGTGGAGGGTTCTCCAATCCCAGACTCCCCAAGTGTGGATGCCAGTTCACTCCCCCTTATACCCAGGCAGGGTCCCAAATCTACCATCCCAGGCAGATGAGTATCTCATGTGCCTCTCTCCTGGTGGCTTTGTTTTTAGGATAGAGACGTGGAGGCTGTCTCAGACCCTGGAAACAAGACTCCCTTTTCAAAATCATCTTTTGTCTGAAAGTCTTCCTTCAGTCTAACCCTCTTGCTAGTTAAGATAACACTCTTGGGGCCTATTCAGTGGAGATGGAGAGTCGATATTTGCCCTCACGCTACACCCCGCAGCCCTGCCAGGGGAATACCCTGCATGTTGATTTTAGTCTGAAGAAGCTTTCTGGCTCCAGTGTCTCCGTTTTCTCCTTGCAGAGCCCTGTCATCTGCTTTTCTTTGCACTCTTTTTTTTAAATATATTTACATTGATTTCAGAGAGAAAGGGAAAGGGAGAGAGAGATAGAAACATCAATGATGAGAATCATTGATCGGCTGCCTCCTGCATGCCCCACACTGGGGATCCAGCCTGCAACCCGGGCATGTGCCCTGACCGGGAATCGAATCGTGACCTCCTGGTTCATAGGTCGATGCTAACCACTGGGCATCCCGGCTGGGTTCTTTGCACTCTGTGAAGCTCTGTTCTCTGAGTCTAGCCCTCCTCATCTGCTGACTTTTTCCAGGACAAAGGTTGCCCCACCCTGCCTGTGAGGAACCCACCCAGCTGTGCAGCCCAGTAACTTCAAGTGCCAAGAAGGGGCTAATTTGCTGTTGTGTGGAAACAGCTTGAAACAAGCCAATTGGCAGTAATGGAAATTTTAGGATTTCCCCACTTCCCTTAAAGTGTAAACCCCTGGGAACCCAGCAGAGAGGCCCAACTATAAGGAAAGCACTGGGAAGAATTCTGTTTTCTCTCTGGGAACATGCTCAGAACATGTGTGCACCACTGGCGCCGGTATGCAAGCATAGGTGTGTTAGTGGGAGCATGCTGGTTATCAAGGATGGTGTACTGTCTAACTTTGTGGCTCTACCTTTTTTGTTCTCTTTGTATTCAACCTGAATAGCAGTACTTCTCTTAGTACCTCGTACTTAGTCTACATACATAGTACTTAGTAGAATAGTAGTACCTCTTAGCGGGGTGTGTTTTTGTTTCTTGGTGCATCAGAAAGTGAAGGGTATGTGTGCGCCAAGGGGATGCCCGAAGTTGGAGTCTCGGCGCCTCTTTTCTCCTAAAGCCACTGAAACTCGAAATCGGGACACCTGGTGGGGCTGTGTCTCCTCCCCTCCGCGCATGATCTTGAGCAGACAGCGTATTCTTCTGGCCTTTGTGTGAGCCAGTGGATGGAAGCCAACTCTGTTTTTAAATCATCACCAGCATTTGCATGGTCATATGAGAGAGAAGTACTGTGTGAGACCCAGGACACATTTTTTTAATATATTTTTATTGATTTCGGAGAGGAAGGGAGCGGGACAGAGAAACGTCAATGATGAGAGAGAATGTGTGTGTTCTTAGAGCTGGAGCCTGGTGCATAACTCAATAAGGAGATGAAGTTTAGGAACAGGCTAGCTTACGCTGGGGACTAAGAAGGCTGAGTGGCCGCTATGACCAACATGTTGCAGTTTTTTTGACTGAAAGTTTCACACCCCCTGAGTCCTGAGCAAATTGGGATGGTTTGACAACCCTAATTGGATCTCATACTTGGGCAGATCAGGAAGCAAGAGGTCTTTTTTGTTGTTTTGTTTTGTTAATCATCACCTGAGGATATTTTTCCACAGATTTTTTTTTTTTTAAGAGAGAATGGAAGAGAGAAACAGAAAACCATTCACGTGAGAGAGACACATCAATTGGTTGCCTTCGTACATGCCCCGACCAGGGCTAGGGATCGAGCCTGCAGTCATGGTACATGACCTTGACCAGAATCAAACCCAGGATCCTTAGTCCTCAAGCCGATGCTCTAACCACTGAGAAACCTGCTAGGGTGCAAGGGGTCTTCTTTGTACAGGGGTCTTTTCACTGCTTTCCTCTATCATTCATCTCTTCCCCATTTTTCCAATTCATTCACCCCACTCCTATCTCCTTTTCAGGTCTATCCGGGAACCCAGCAGATCTGGAAAAACGTAGACAAGTGTTTGGACACAACTTAATCCCCCCGAAAAAGCCCAAGACCTTCTTAGAATTAGTGTGGGAAGCCCTTCAAGATGTCACCCTCATCATCCTGGAGATCGCAGCCATCATCTCCCTGGTTCTGTCCTTCTATCGTCCCCATGGTGAAGAAAACGAACGTGAGTGTCTTGAACAGCCCCACAGAGCTCTGATCTGGTTCTTCCCACAACCACCAAAAAGCACTCAGTGGTTGACAGATTATGGCTTAACAGTGTCCCCCCGTTATTCAGGGTGGGTTCTCCAAAGGAAACAACAAGTAGCTAATAAGCTTTTCTTCCAACCCATTCTGATCCCAGGATCTTTCCCCCTTTTTCCCATGAAATCCCTGTGTGGAATGTCACAAATCCTCTACCCTCACCCAACCAGCACAGCCCTGCTTCCCAACATGCCCCACACCAATGTTGGCATCTGGGGACATAACAGCAGGCGCCTGACCGTGCCGGGAGTCATAAGCTCTTTACATGTGACCTGCCTTTAATTTGCGTTGACGTGTTTTGCGCTATTTAGTCATTTGCTTCTTTTGGGTTAACATATAATAATGAAATGAAACCCAATCCTGCTGTCCTCCAATATCTCTAGAGGGAAGCTCTTTTGCCCAAGAGTTTACATTTTTTTATTATTCTCTTTCCTTGACTTTCCACTCTGAGGGATGGCAGAAGCAACTACCTCCCATTTCTTCAACGTCAATCAAAGCCCCTAGATGACCCTCTTTCTCTCCTTTCGCTGCGCTAGAGTGTGGCCTACCTATCAATAGCCCAGAGGACGAAGGGGAGGCAGAAGCCGGCTGGATCGAGGGCGCAGCCATTCTGTTCTCGGTGATCATCGTGGTGCTCGTGACGGCCTTCAATGATTGGAGCAAAGAGAAACAGTTCAGAGGGCTGCAGAACCGCATTGAAAAGGAACAGAAATTCTCCGTTATTCGAAATGGTCACATCATCCAGCTCCCCGTGGCTGAAATCGTGGTGGGTGATATCGCCCAAATCAAATACGGTGAGAGCTCCGCGCTTCTCTTACCCATGCCACTCTCCCTATTGCTGAGGCCAGAAAGGTATGCTCCCAAATTGGGTTAGCCTCTCGGTCGCTTTTAAGGGGGTTATCTAAGGAAATTCAGAGAAAGAACTAACGGAAACGCTCCCAGAAGACTGTCAGACTTACGTGTCTTCGGGTTAAAAGTCGATAATATTCAGGCCATGGGAAGGTGTTTTGGGGGGAGCAATTGTTTGACATTGTAATACCTGGAAAATAGTCTTGTCCCAGGTTGTCTTTCAAAGGCTCTCTGGGCCATTGCTTCTAGGTGAGAGGTCTGAGATGGTGTTGGGTGGTCCCCATCCTCTGCCAGGCTCTTACTGCCCACCTTTCCCTGGCTCCCCTTCACCTCTGTGCACTAGGTGACCTGCTGCCTGCAGATGGGATCCTGATCCAGGGGAATGATCTCAAGATTGACGAGAGCTCTCTGACTGGGGAATCGGACCATGTCAAGAAATCCTTAGAAAGAGACCCCATGTTGCTCTCAGGTATGGTTTTGGCCACCTTGGTTTCCATCCTGCCTCCTTCCACACAGCCAGGCCACAGAGACCTGATTCAGGCCCCGCTCTGTCTCCTCTCCCCGGGGCAATGGCATATGAGTGGGTTAAATACAAGGATCTAAGGTAAGCTAACAGAAGTTCTCGATGGAGCAAGTGCTAGAAGAGGGTGGGTGGTGGGGGAAGGAGCCTTACTCTAAAGCAGTTAGACACACTTATCTTCTTATCCCCCAATTTACTTGATCTATTTTATTTTTTTAATATATGTTTATTGATTTCAGAGAGGAAGGGAGAAGGAGAGAGAGGGAGAAACATCAATGATGAGAGGGACTCATTGATCAGCTGCCTCCTGCACACTCCCCACTAGGGATCGAACCTGCAAGCTGGGCATGTGCCCTGATCAGGAATTGAACTGTGACCTCCTGGTTCATAGGTCGATACTCAACCACTGAGCCACACCAGCTGGGCTGCTTATTCTATTTTAAATGGCCCCAGCTCTTGACCTTTTCCTTCTCTCTGCTGAGCATGTCATTATCCACAGGGGAGGAAGGGAGTCTGTGTTTTACACTGGAGCAGGCCAAGGTGTAAAACACAACACTCTTCCCACCTTCTCCTTTCTCCCACAGGGACCCATGTCATGGAAGGTTCTGGCCGGATGGTAGTGACTGCTGTGGGTGTCAACTCCCAGACTGGAATCATCTTTACCCTCTTGGGGGCCAGTGAGGAGGAAGAGGAGGAGAAGAAGAAGAAAGGTAAGAGGCATTCAGAATGAGACTCTCTTTCCTCCTGTCCCCATCGACAAGCCAGGAGGCAAGGGAGCAGATCTGATGGGAGACTGCTGGATGAAGAGCAGAGACGCAGATGGCCACCCTGGCTCTCTAGGGGGCTCTGGTGAACCCCAGATCCTGGCTCTAGCTCCCAAATCAGGTTGCACTTGAGCCTCCATCTCTGTGCATATTGGTGGGTTGTAAAGAGGTGAGTTATAAAGCCTGCCCCCAAATGAGCTGGCTAGGTGCTCTGGCCCTAACTACCCCTCCAGGTAGTCCTCTGATCCCCTCCCTTTCTTCCTCAAACATGGAGGTGGAGGGGGGCAAATGAACCATGAGGGCTAATGGAAAACTGGCCTGGAGATGGCTGGATTCCTGCCGAACCATGGGCTGCCAGTGGAAGAGAGAGAGCAGCTAGGAGAGTGAGCAAACAGGTAATGCCTACCGTGACGTTAGCCCTGCCTTTGCCATTCACTTGTTCTTGAAGGAAGGAAACACAGAAGGCAACTGAGAAAAGCATAGTAAAACCAGATCTGCAGCTTCCCCTAAGCGTTCCTTCTTCCCTGGAAGGAGAGAGGGACTCCACCACTCAGACAGAGGGCTGTCTCAGGCCGTTTAGTGGAGGGCAGGGTATGACCAGGAAACAACACGCTGTTCGTCTCTGCAGCTACCTGCAGATGAGTGAGGAGGAGGCGGCCTGGTGCTGGTGATGACGTGGGGACTCTGCCGCGCCTTTGCCATCAGGCCAACACAGTTCACCCCTCTTGCTCCCAGCCCCACCCCATTTCTCCACGTGATGCAGCCGTGCTCGGGAGAAGGCGCTGTGTGAGTGTGCGCTCACCTGCATGAGTGGTCTGCTCCATTCCCCGTGGTGTCGTGAGAAGCCCTAGTGAGAAGGGGTGTGAGCAGACGGAGCTTGCTTCACATTCCCTTCCTGGGGTCAATTTTTTTTCAGCCCCTTTGCTGTCGCCCTTTGGGGCTCTGAGCAGGACCAACAAATTGGATATCTGATCTCTTAATAGTCACTTTGGGTCTCCACCCCACTTTTTTCTTTCTTGTTCAAACAGGTAAAAAACAAGGAGTCCCCGAAAATCGCAACAAAGGTAACCTGTCCACCCACTCATCTCCCATCTCTACCTGACTACACTCAAACCAGACCTTCCAGGCCATCTGCCTTCTCCCTTTTCCTCGCCATAAATCTGTTATCTGCTGCTGTGGCCCAGATGCCTCATCCTGAGGAAGGTGCAGAGATTTGGGGTGGTCTCAAGGTCCCGGTCTCAATCCAAGATGGGACAACAGCACCCTCTGCTGTTGGCTCAAGGAACCTCATGTCAAGGTTTCTCTTGGGGAGTGTGTGG